GAAGCATAAGTAATGATAGTTAATTAAACTAGTGTTTAGTGGGACTTATCCCCGATAATTAGTTCTGAAAATAAATAATTAGGTAGTATGGCGTTATAGATTGTGCATTTTACGCCACGTTATATATATATATATATATATATGTATATATATGTATATGTATATATTGGAAAAAATGTTATAATATGGTTGAGTATTAGACTGCATCATGGTTTATCTATATGTATATTACCTGCACATAATTATTGTAAATGCTTTGAAGTGCAAAGGCGAACGCAGAACACCCAGGTAAGTTCATATGAGTTTATAGTATTAGTTGAAATGATTGAGTGATGGCATGACTATATTGTGTTTTAGGCAACCCGACGTTGTTGTACAGGTTGCCTATGAGTTGTATATGTCATATGAGATGCATTTAGAGCTCATAAACCTGCACCCCGATGTTAGTGCTCCTGCCCATGGCCAGGGCACGGCCATTCACGTGATGTTCACCTTCTGCACCGTATGCTCACCTTGGATCCAAGGTAGGTGCACAGTCTTGTTGTACAGACCATTATAGGTGGTTCCGACTCGTAGGTGAACCGCGATTATTCGCACAGTCTTCACGTGATCGTAGCACTTGAGCGTATTTATTTACACCCAGTCATGTCGTAGATACCACTTTAGGTGGTTCCGACTCATGTGCAGGTATACTTATTGAGCTATGGATAAGTCGTACAGGTCACTAGAGGTGACTCCGACTGATGAGCTAGCATATGTGATGAGATGTATAATGAGCTAGCATATGTGATGAGATATATGATGAGTTAGTATATATGATGAGATATATGATGAGTTAGTATATGTGATGAAATGTATGATGAGCTAGTATATGTGATGATGAGTTAGCATATGTGATGAAATGTATGATGAGCTAGCATATGTGATGAAATGTATGATGAGCTAGCACATATGATGAGATGTATGATGAGCTAGCACATATGATGAAATGTATGATGAGCTAGTATATGTGATGAAATGTATGATGAGCTAGTATATGTGATGAGATATATAATGAGATAGCATATGTGATGAGATATATAATGAGATAACATATGTGATGAAATGTATGATGAGCTAGCACATGTGATGAGATATATGATGAGCTAGCATATGTGATGAGATATGGATAAGTCGTACCGGTCACTAGAGGTGACTCCGACTTATGAGATAGCATCGATTGATGAGATATGGTTGTAGTTGTACCGGTCACCATAGGTGACTTTGACTGGCATGTTAGTATGAGTTATTAAGCACTTGATTATTTATATTGCTAATGAGATGTGATATGGTATGCTTCTGGATTTAATGTTAATATACTTTTAATTTCATGTTTATCCGTAGTATGATTTTCTAGAAACTAAACAAGTGTTACGGTGAGGGATTTTATCGTTGAGAAGGTCTTATTTAAAGCTTTATTTTCTGGCCACTCACTCTAGTTTTTATCCTTCCAGGTCTAGTAGCAGAGCTTTCGTATCGACGAGGATTCGTGGCAAGTTTTGGTATTGGAGATTACCTTCGATGGTATGAACTTCAATCCACTATACTGTACTTGCTTATGCTCTAACGTCACGTGTGAAGTGGGTTCATTCCCGCTCACCAGCGCACTCTGGTATTTAGGCACTTTTAGGTTTAAATTTATTCATATTTTTCCACATCATCATACTTTATGGATTCGTCATCCTCCAGGTGTCGGCCAGCACAACTCGATTCGGAGTCCTAGTGGACATCCCGGGTCGGGGTGTGTCATACACGAGTTGATGCCTAACCACAGATTAATTCACACCTTAGAAAGAACAACCTTTAACATTAGCATGATAATTGGATAGTAGTTGGCTTTAGAAAAGTAAATAGGATTGTTGTTGATGGATTCATAACCTTAAGCTTCATTGTTTCTCCAATTCTTCTTGACGTGTGTTTATTTTGTTTACTTGTCTTTTTAATTTTTTTGTTAGTTTTAGTCTTAATCAATCATTCAATTCAATCTAATTGATTAATTAAGTTAGGCTTGATTAGTCGGTTAAATTGGTGTTAAAGTAATTTATGTGGGATCGACCTCGTATTTACATATCTTACTACAATTGATTCGTGCAGTTACGAGTATAATGGGTTTGATGATTTGTTAGAAATGTGAATAGGGTTAAACGTTATGACCTCAAAGGGGAAGATGGAATCTAATAACTTGATAAGGATGTAGAATAATTTAGATCAGAAATCATGTGGATTAGATCACCAGAATGCATGCACGTCTGTGTGCTTCTGGTAAGCCAATAATATGCTTGTTGCATTCTGAATATTAGATGAGAATGCATGTGAAATGGTGAAATATTTGGTGTAGTAGTAGATGGTAAGATGTGACAATTTGACAATATAGTTTCATGCAAATAGACATGACAAAGTAGTGCAACTGCTGTGTGAAAAGATATTCGACACATAAACGTCGCGCGTAAACTCATTTTTGGAGAAATTAGATTCTCAACCTTTCTTTTACTACTCCATTGTTTAAAATCCTATTTCCTTTTCAAATTTTTTATCAAGGTTCTTGGGTATTAACAACATCATTAATTATTTTAATAATAAAATAATTTTTTATTTCTAAATATATTCATTTAATGTTAAAAATGTTACAATTAGTATATTTATATTTATAACTAAATTTTTATCATATATTTTTAGTTTTAGTTTGTACCAATTTTTAATTTGTACCAATTTTCTTTTCAATTTTAATTTGTACCCATATATTAATTTCTTTTTGTGCCCATATTTTTAAAAGTTTATTTTGTATTTGTACCCATATATTTTTTTGTATTTGTACTTTTTATTTTGCTAAATGTACTCATGCTAATTATATGTACCAATTCATGTAAAACTTTTTAATCTTAAAATGTACTCATTCTTAAATATACCAATTTGTTATATGTAAAATGTACCATTTTTTTTTATATAAAATCTATTCAATTGTTTTCTAATCCATTTTTAAACTTATATGGGTGCATTCTTTTTCCTTTGATTTTAAAATGTATCCATGTCAAGTTTAATCGAAGAAATTTACTAATGTTATTAAGCCTAATATCTTTTTCTATTTTTTGTGATTTTGAAGAATGTACCCATATTTTGATACAATAATTTTTTTGCTTAATTTTGATGAATGTACCCATGTTTATACACACACACACACACACACACACAATAGTATATTTATATTTTAATATTTTTAATCCCACAAATTATGGTTTTTTTTATTTAAAATCTCATTTATATAAATAACTAATTTTTTTTTATTTTTAATTTAAAAAATATAGTAATGTACATAAAAATAAATTATCACATTAATTTCAAGGACTTCGATCAAAAATAAAAAATCAACAAGGTTTCAATAAAAGAATATTCATTAAGAATCTCATCCAAAGTCTCCCCTCATTTTTTTCCTTTTTATTTTTGTTCCAATATGCTACCACTTACCATCACCATGAGTATCGCATATATAATCCTTCGTTAACTTTTTATCGAATAAGTTGTTGAGAATGAATTCCACAACGATGGGAGGAAAGATCATGCATAGATTTATAAGTAAGTTGGTCAGCTTCCTATAGTGTCAAATTAGTTTTATTGTAAAACCCTAACTTTCTTCATAAGTTGTTTGTTAAACATAAGGAGAGTATATATGATACCTGAATATCAGAACCTAAAGTTGCCTACTTAAAGGCACGTGGTCTGATTATCATCATCGAGCATAAACTACATGATCAACACTCCTAACTAAATACAAAACTTCCAAAAGACAAGAATACAACATGCCATGCATTACACACTATAATGTGGGTCTCGGTAAAAAACCTTCCCAAAAAACTTGTTATTCTAGAGATTGATTTATGTACACCATTTTCTTTTTCACTTTTTACCCCCTTTTTTTATTTGTTTTTTATTTGATTTGTTCAATTTAATGGGTTGAAAAATTAGAGTGATTTTTTTTTTTTTTGAAATTCAAAATTAGAGTGATTTTAACTACGTATTCAGCTAGATTCTATCTAAAGAATAACTATATATTCAACTAAGAATATTGTTGATTGATATATGAGAACTGAGAAACTAACACTATGTTTGGATGAGAGAAATAAACTTGGAATTTGGATAAAAGTCAGAATTTATAAATTGACATGCACCAATTCCCTTGTTTGAATTTATAACAAAGAAATTTAGAATTTCCGCGTGGAAAAAAAAGTTGGAATTTGGGGCCTCCAATTTCCAAGTTTAAATTCCATGTAAATAGGTGTCATTTCTCAATTTCTATGACTGAGAGTTTAAAATTAACAAATTCCTTTTTCAATTCCATTGTTCTTTTTAGTTAACCAAACAACAAAATTCACAAATTCTAGAAAATAAAATCCCTTCATTTCAATTTCCGTCATTTTAAAATTCTTTAGTAATCTTAAATTTCTTCTTCCAAACATAATGTAAGGGTACAAACCACCTTTATATTTCTAGATGATACAGAAAGTTAAATTCCCAAATGAACTAGGAGATAACATCAATGCATGTTCCATATTCAATAAGAAACATGAACGTAAGCTATAACAATGAAACTTGCTTATTTATTTATTTATTTTTGACCAAATAATATTATCTACACTAAGGGACAGGGGGTCCGCTTAGTCTCATAACGTGCTAGCAATATTGTGGTTCAAATTCTCCTTTGGCGAGAATTGAACCTAAGACCTCTCACTTATATGTGAAAATGAATACTACTAGACCGTAGTACTAAGTGACTTGCCTCTTATTATATGAACACGATTTTCCATCTTTAAACATTTTCTCCTCGTTCTTGAATCAAACCTATATTAGCAAAAATATGTCGTCTTCAGTCTTGACGAATTTGTACGTACAAAATAATTAACACATTTGATCAAAGACCAAAGCTTCAGATGCCCACGAGGTGGGGGGTTGGCCAATGGGTCTTTGATGCTTAAGTTAATATCTCTGAAAAGAGTGAGTGACACACCCCGACCAAGATCAAGGCATGTTGACAGTCACATGAGGGCGACCAAGATCAAGAAATATATGAATAAATAAAAATCGAAAGTTACTAAAGTGCATTCATAAGCCAGAAGTGCTAAAAGTGAAATACAAGTGTCAGTACACCTAATTAGAGCGTAGGAAGTCTAGGTGCAGTCCAGTAGGACAAGTACTAGTCATATAGTACCATAAGATGTCCTACAATTATTTTAATATGTCAGAACCGCCAAGATCCTCGTACCCCACCAACTGCAAGCTTACCTAAAACCGGGAGGGGTGCAAAACAGAAGACATGAGTGGGCAAAAACAAATGTTTTACAAAACCATATCATTTCTCAAAGGTTCTAACCCCTCGCAAACATGTATAATTTTCCCAGAAATAGAATATAGACATATGCATAAATGTATATGTAATTATCTCAATTCAAATCATGCTCCACATATTCATAATCATAAGTATGTCATGCCAAGATATAACAAAATAGGTAATTCATGTGAGAATAAATTCAAGGAAAATAACATATTAGCCGGAACCCCTGTAGAAGTTTGTACGGCTGAATTCATAGCCCAATAGTCAATCTAGCCAGAGTCACTAATATGACCTATACGGCACTACACTGCACACAAGTCGGAACCAATGAAAAGGTCTGTACGACAAGACTGGGTATAATATAATTATGCTCAATACTACTCTCTCATGATAGCTAGGCGATAAGTCGTTAGTCACCTACGAGTTGGAACCACCTTGATGGTCTGTACGATAAGACTGTGCACCTAAATTGGATCCAATATGAGCATATGGTGCAAGATGTGATACAAGCATGTGCCATATCTCTAACTAAATAATAATTACCGTAGGTGCAGGTTTATGAGCTCAATGTTTCTCAATTACATATCACATCATCGATGATTCACATAACTAAACATAACTTACCTGGTACTTACCTGAGTGTCCACATCACCACAATTATATATTATGCATCATATACTATATCATATACAAAATATAAATCTATATGCATGATATTCAAGGCATACTTTCATTTAAATGCATTTTCTAGGAAAATATCAAGTATATAAGTATATACTGAAAACCAAAAGCTCACTCACTGGTATGTCGAAGGGTCGTAGCCCCTGAGTTGCCCTTGACCATGCTCGTCCTCAGGATAAGTCTTCTCTATATGCGAAATAACTATAAAAACGTCATTTAAAGCACATAGACAAAACTAGCTAATAACTTCTCATACAATGCTTAAATGGGATGTTTGAATATACCAACGTGATCTACACAACTCCACGAACATCCCTATATTTTTAGAATAATTTTCTGACCACCCACGCGCGGGCACGTGCCAGGCACACTGACGGTAATAGTGACGTTGTTAGGAATATTCCGTTAAAAGTAACGGAAACCGTTAAAATTAATCGACGCCGTTAGGAATATTCCGTCATCCCTAACCTTAGGACTCCGGCCACCGTCGCCGGCGCCGGAAACTAGGAAGATGTTTAAACCTTCATTTCTCGTCCATTTCTCAGTCAAATTTCATGAATTATATATCAAAATGAAGCTTAGGACAAGTAGAATAAACCCTTACCAGTTTTAGGACCTAAATCCCACGGAATCTCGCCGGAAAAATCCCCGATAATCCAGCCAAACTTAAAACTCGTTGTTCTCGCTATTCTGATGTCCAAAATCTTCCAACGAACCACTCCTAGCCTCACAAGGACCTCCTTAAGCTACCTATATGCTTGAAATCCCCAAAAATATGAGATTTTACTTTTGCATGAATAGTACCTAAATCGGAGTTCGAGAGAAACTAGGGTTTTCGAAGGAGTTCTTACCTAAAAATGGTACCATTCAACTCGTATGAACCTCAGGAACACGATGGTGTCCTTTAAACCCTCGATCTGCAACTTTCCATTAGTGTTGTTGTTGGCCCATACGTGAGGGAAGGAGAGAGAGTGAGTCCAAGGAAGAGAGAGCACGAGAGAGAAAAGAGAGGAAGGGTTTGTGTGTGTGTGAGTGGTCCACGTGGGTCACCAACCAAAACCACAAAAACTAATTTCCAATTTGTTCCAAAAATTTGGGAAAAATGCAAGTTTGGACCACCATTTACATGCATAACACACCACAACGCTCACATCCAAAGGTAAAATAGTCAATTCATGTCATCGATAATTTATTTCAGGACGGGCTGTGACAGTGAGTGTTTAGGGCTTGCATGTGTAGCAAAAAGCCTACCAAAATTTGGTGGACATAGAGGTATTTATTAGGAGGAGGTTGCCAGCCTTAGTGTTAGGTAGTGGCCCTACACATGGTGGCATCCTATTGGCCAAGGTGTGTCATCCGTCTGATGAATGAAGAAAGAATATTTCCATGATATTAATTAGGATATAATATCTTGGGATAATGGTGGAAGTATCTTGAGAGAGGGATTCCTTACTTGCTTGAGTTGATTTTCAGTTGAGATTATATTAAAGATGAATTTGGTAATTAATCCCTATTTTGAATACTTCTAACTTTTTCATACTATGAGTAGGGGAGCTTTGAGCAATCGTGTCAGCTGCTTGAACTTCTTGAAATGTTGAGCTGTGCGTGATAATATTTGAAATTATTTCTAGCTCCATATAACCCTTTTTCTAACTTTTCTTTCTAATTAAATACCCCTTTCTTATATTACATCATTGCCCAACTTAATGAGTCTAATCCCGCTATTATTAAGTTCACCAAACATGAACCTTGTAATTGGATTTTTGTGTTTTTTTGTTTTTTTGTTTTTTGTTTTGGGTCATGAGTCGTGACTCACCCACCAAACACGAGAAATTCACACAAAAAATGTGGCCTAAAGGGTCATAAAATAGACCGAATTCAAAATTAAAGTCATTCTCAATAACATAAACGTTAAAGTCAAATTTGTTTTTGAAATGATGTGCGATTAACAACACTACAAATAGCAATCTCTGTACTTTTTAAAAATAAATTATCATCATCAAACACAAAACTGTAAGACTCATTTTTTGTTCCAAAAAAAAAAAAAAAAACTGTTAGACTCATTTAATGACTTGAAAGTCAAAAGTAACCTAATCTTCAATTTATTTGATTCTCAGAGTGATTTATATTGATTGACAAGAATTATGGTAACGAGATACTCTAAGTAAGACATAATACATGCTTTGGTGGGACAACATTTTGATTTAATAGTGATTTGGTGTATCTCTCTATTGACTATAATATGCGATTTTAGAGGAACACTAATCACTACATTAAGGATGTCTTTGCTTTCACAATGCGCACGTTCTATTAGAGCAAACCATATTATTGCTTGAACATTTCTGTTTACTGAGAGTAAGAAGACTCATTTGTCATCCGCAAAAGCAATGTCTTATATATTTTACAGAAAAGTTCATTTTTAATTGATTTATTATAATTTAGTTTGTTACATTCGTTATCCTAATATCTTGTCATTGTTCTTATAATTTCAGAAATATCTAACAAAAACATATGGTGCCAAACATGGGGTTTGACATGCTAATTCATGCTTATTGTACAACATCTTGGATTTCAATCATTAGTGAGTTGCAATGATATTGGAAAGAAAAAAAGGAATTGGAAAAGGAATAGTTGGAAAATTGGAATGCTAGGAATATGATACAGAGCTTTCCAAGTCGGTTAAAAAAGTCCACATTAGTATCGTAGGGTTGTTGAGGTTGCTATTTCGCTGTTGGTTTGGATGGTTGTTGAGGACAACTATAGTCACATATTCTACTGACATATTTCTTGGACCCAACAGTTTCTGACACGACACGAAAACGACATGAAAATAACTGGTTTCGGGTCAACACGATAACCCGTTAAGAACCTGTTATTAACGGGTATACATGCGGGTAACACGTGGGTAACCCGTTAAGAAAAATTTTATTTGATCATTTTAGTTTAATTACTAAAAGATTTATTATAAAATACAATAGCCATATTAATATATACAATATATTCTATATTAAATATATAGTTTTGTATTATTATTCTATATAAGTTAAAAAAAAAAGTTTTTGTCATTATTTATTTTTATTATGAGATTTCCTTATTATCATTACTAGGATAAATTTTACTTAACATGTTGTTGTCCAAAATTAAAATAAACTAATATAGTATTTGTATAGGCAAGAACTAAGAAGACATACATACACATATGAAAAATGTGAAAGAATATATAAACACTCGTGATTCATCATTATTCCTCCACGAATAGATAATGGTTATACTTGCATTATCGTTTAGATTTTTAAAATCCTCCAAACCTTCGTGAATAATGTTTTTTTATTTGAGGACAAAGTTAATAAAATTAATAATAATTATTGTAGAAGTGTAAAAAATGTCAAAAAAAAAATAAAATACAATCACTCATAGTGACAAACTTTACAACTTTCATGAAGGGGTCAACTTCGAAATCCAACACTATAATTCATAAACCTTAAATTTATATTTAACCGTCGATTGCCATTTACGCTTTATTCTTCTTACTGAATTTCATTTTTTAAATTTTCTTTTTTGAAAACATGATCATTTGGTAGATGTAAGAAGATGAACGGTTCAGATCTTTGATATCACGTTTCGATATTTACGGTTAACTGAAATATGAGTAGATGTCATATAATTTGTAGAAACTTTATAAACATCAAGCAATTTTCACTAAGCGTAAAACTCTGAATATAATATCAACAATCCAAACCGTTCATCTTCCTGCATCCTCTAATAGATCAAGTTTTCAATAAAGAAAATCTGAAAAACAAAATTTGATGAGAACAATGAAGCGTAAATGTAAACAACAATCAACGGTTAAATTTTGATATCTGATTTATATGATTATAGTGGCGAATTTCGAAGTTAAGCTCTCCATGAAAGTTGTAAAACTTGTCATTACAAGCGTTTATGTATTTTTTCTATATTTTTTTTTACACTTCTACATTAATTAAAAAACTATTAAAGACTTTAGGTAAATGAAAATATACTTAAAAGAAAAATGTGTTTTTATGTTTTGGATGTGACAATATGGTATGTATATACTTATTTAGTATTATATTTTTCATTTGATTATTTATTGGTTTAAAATATATTTTCCTTAACGGGTAATGGGTCGGGTCATATTACCTGTTAATATTATCGGGTCGATTTCGGGTCGGGTCATTTTACCCGTTTATTTTAACGGGTGTTACACGACATGACCCGTTAAGATATCGGGTACGACATGAACACGGAAAACACTACACGAATGCCAGGTCTAATATTTCTGCTTTCTATGTTTTGTTGCTCCCCATATCATCACTTTCTTTGGAGGCGCTTAGTCATGCATGCTCAAAACTTCAATTTTATGGTCAATATCTGCTTTGAAAATATTATGATGTGTTTGATAATTATTTTGTTTTTAATTTTTAATTTTGTGTTTGAGATATAACAGTAATATATAGGAGAAACGATGGATATTAAGGAGTGCATGAACAATCTTTTGTTTCTTGTGAAATAATACTTCCCTCTTAGTCTTAACAAATTCCTTAAAACTCAAATGGTTGTTTGAGCACTTAGAACTTATATGCACTGTTTAAAATCCTAATTGATTGTTAGATGACTTCCTTAAACTCTTTTTTTCCCTTCAACGGAGAATTTGAACTCTAACCAAGACTGAAACCAAGATCAAATTCACATGTATTAATTAGTATGCCACATGAAAAGGCAGAATAAGGCCAAGAAGTTACCAAGCAACTCCAAGTGAATAACCCAACCGCGACTATCTAACCAACTACCTATGAATAAATGAATAACCGAACGAGACTAAATCCAAGCGAGTGAATGAACGAATAAGGGGTTTGTAAAGAGCAAAGGACTATAAAAAAAAACACTACCAAGAGGTAAGCTTGTTGGATCCTCCTCATCCTCGGAACTAAAAAAAAGAGTTTGAACTCTCTTCATCTTCTTCTTTGTCTACATTTCCAACTTCCTCCCCTTCGCATTTTTCTCCCCACCCCCACTACTTCTTGAAGGATGATTAGGGCTCATAAACCCTTTCTTTCATTCATCAATAGGGCCCTAGTTAGTCACTTTTATGGGCCGGGATCGATAAGTGGAAGCCATAAAAAAGAGATGCTTCTCTTCGCACCTCAGATTAAGAGGAAGGGTAGCTTGTCAGGATGTTATCATCGCATACAAATTTAATTCTAAGCGGTAAATATAACTTTTAAATCACGAATGGAAGAACCCATAAACTCTTATATTGATATAAAAGAGATCAAAGGAGATAGCGGTATGTTTAAACTTTGGCAACTGAATTGTAGGGTAAATAGCTACAAACCCTTGTATAATTTCATCACCGATTGAATATCGTTACCATATCAACAATAATTATATATCAAATGAACCAAGTGAATGGTTGTCCTAGCCTAGTTATGCTTCCTATTTTAGCACCAATAGTAGCATCTTTCAGAAGGTGGTACATTATTCTCACTGATTGTGTCCACCCTTAGAGCATCTCAACAACCTAGTTAATGAGGTTTTTTTGGCTACTTTAACAAAAAATACCAAAAAGTCAAGCTTTAATAGGTTAGCTAAACGACTAGTTATCTTAACTTTGTGAATAGTAATTAGCTAAATTTAGCTAGGGAGAGAGAAATTTTTTTTTCTTGGTGAAGAGCGGGGAATACAACCCAAAAAGGTAAACTACAAAATAGCAACAAACGTAAAACGAGTCTGAGGGACTCCAATAGCATCATCTGTGAGAGCTGCTCTAATCCAAATAGAAGGCTCATCAATACAAGTTAAATTTTTGCTAAACATTAAAAAGTATAAAATTGCACTGTGTGGACTTCAAGAGAAGAAAAAAAGGTTTCGATTGTTAAGTGTAGGAAAAGTAATATTAAAATATTTTAACTTAAGCTAAAATAGTTAGGATTGTTGGAAGTGGTGGCTAACCAAATGAACATTTAGGTCAAGTAATAAAAATTAGTTAGCATTGTTAGAGATGGTCTAAGGATGGTCATAGGTTAATTAACTGAGCTTGGTGCATGTACTGAGACAGCAAGGACTATATATAGCATTATTGCTAGTAAATATGGCCTACGTAGGGCATAAT